GTAATGAATCGAAGAAAGATCTTCACAATATTTCACCAGCTTGTCCTCACCACGTCTTATCAGCACCTTCTAGTCTGTCGAATCCGAATGGATTTTGGCTCTCATAAAAACCTAGACGACACCGTAGTATGAGAGATCCTGGAACTATCCGGATTCAGTATTTAAATGCACCCCGTTTCATCGGAAATACATTTATCAGAAATCCGAGTCCCATCCAATTTCAAGTTTCGGAGCTACGTCACCTGGGGCAAAAGAGGCTGGACCTCAACATTGTTTTTGAGCCAAAGGTTGCATTGTCCATCGCCAATCCCGGAAGTTACAAAGAATTTTTGACTGGTGATTTCCATTTCTCGAACTGCAGTCTATTAAAAAATTTTATGGACCTGCAAAATTCCGTATAAAATTTGTGCAGTGTGGATGAACCAGAACTTTGACATTTTTTAAAAACAAGTGCGCAGCGCTCCTCGAAATTGCAAGATTTTACATGCAGGCCCCTATGAGTGTTTTTGGATCGAATTACTGGTGGCAGGACACCGAAGCCATGGTCCATGTTCCTCGGAGACTACACTTGCGATCGTGTTGAATGGCCTGAACCTCGATGTGCTTCGAAATTCCACTTGATTCACAGGAACAGTTTTGCAAATGGTACCACAGAAGGGTAATCAGTTCATTGAAAAGATAGCAATAAAAGTGATTCAGCCCCATGCAGCAGTACCAGGATGGGATTTGCTTCATGCTGTCGTATCAGATGAGAGGTCCGATCTATGGAGTGCTACCAGATATATGAAATATCGTTCCACGCAACAGTGCGCATGAAATTCTAAGAAACTAGAGGCTTTAGCAGTGAAGCGCAAGTGTATCAAATGGTTAATAGCTGAAGAAGCATCTGCGAAACGCATGAACTACTTTTTCTTTTAAATTACAAGCAGAGCGAAGGACCCAGGGTGGAATGCATTAGGCTTGCCGGTGCGATTGTGCGTTTTTGACTAAACGTGCAGGCCTCCAATAGCAGGAATGATCCCTATGCTGTAGCCTAACACTTGGATTCATATTGGCCGTGCTTTGGCCCCTTCCGGCATGCGGTAGAAAGAGTGTCGGTTGGGAAGAAGGTGGCGCATTGTAGAGGCACATGAACCTCCAGGTACACGATTACCAGTTTTTGCATGAAGCCCGGTCGTCTTTTCGGTAAATGCTCGCTTTTTGAAACATAGCTGGAAAGCACCGGGAGGGCCCGTGCGATCGTGTTTTTGCACCGGACTTGAAGTACTCAGGTCATTAACTGCATGAATGGTTGTTGCTTTACATCTACCTTTTGC